ATATCAAGAACAATGTTGCTCAGTTACCCATGCTCGTTAAAAGTTCAAACTCTGATTTTGATTACACTGTGAATTTTGTGTTGTGAAACAGTTTCTTTTCAAAATGTCAGCAAATTCCTGACCAAACTTTGTCCAGAGGGACATATTGAGAAATTGTAGAGTCACAGAGGTCTTAGAACACAGTAAAAAGGCCCTTCAGCCGACCAAGACTGCACCAGTCAAAATAAAACCTAACTATTCTAATCACTTGACCCACAGCCTTGCATGCCCTGGCTTTACAAGTGTGCGTCTAAATGCTGCTTAAATGTTGTGAAGGTTTTTGCCTCTGCCACCCTTGCAGGCAGTGAGTTAAAGATTCTCACCATCCTCTAGGTGAAAATATAACTTCCTCCCATCTCCTCTAAGTTTCCTTCCCACTACATTAAATCTATGTCTTCCTCCTTCCCCTATCATTGATACATCCACCAAGGGCTAATGATTTTTTTTCCCCTTCTAAGTCCCTCTATTATTTTGTACATCTCAATCATGTTCCCCCATTCGGGAGACTTAGCTCCTGACTGAATTACAGTTATGGTTCAAACATGGACAAAGAGCTTAATTCCAGAAGTGACAGTGACTGTCCCTGACATCAAGGCCATACGTGAATAACTGTGATATCAACGAGCCCTAGAAAAGCTAGAATCAATAGGAATTGGGAGGATGTACATTTCACTGCTTGAAGTTATTCCTAGCACAGAGTAAGATGGTTGTGGTTTCTGGAGACCAGTTGTCTCAACTCCAGGACATCTCTGCAGCAGCTCCTCAGGGTATTATTCCAGGCCTAACAATTTACAGCTAATTCATCAATGACTTTCCTTCCATCATAGGGTCAGAAGTGGGAATGTTCGCTGCTAATTGCACAACATTCAGCATCGTTTGTGGTGACTCAGATACTGAAGCAGTCCCATGTCCATATGCAGCAAGACCTGGACAACATCCAGGCTTAGGCTGATGAATAAAAACTGACATGTATACCTCACTAGTGCCAGGCAATGACTATCTCCAACAAGAGGTATGCAACCATCACTGCTTGATGTTCAATGGCATTACCATCACTAAATTCCCAACTATCAACATTCTGGGAGTTACCATTGACCAGAAGCTCAACTGGACTCGCCATATAAATCACTGGCTACAAGAGCAGGACAGAGCCTAGAAATACTGTGGCGAGTAACACACCTCCTGACTCCAAAAAGCCTGTCCATCTTATCCAAGGTATAAGTCAGGAGTGTGATGGAATGCTCCTCGTTTACCTGGAGATGTGCAGCTCCAAAAGCATTCAAATCTTTAATGCTGCCAACTTCAATGATTTCTGCAGAGCTACACCTCAGTTCCATTGTTTTTGCAACCTTTATTTTATATTGCCCCTCTTTTTATTCTGCTACAAATATATACAATTATACGTTTCTTTAACATGAATTACACCAATCATTGTACCCACTCATTTAGTAGCCTGTCTATGTCATCTTAAAGTCTATCCTTGCTCCGCTCTGGAAAAATCAGCCACTGTTCTGTTTCCTGTCACTCGGCCAACTTCCTTTCCGTGCTGCCACTGTCCCTTATATTCCATGAGATTCAACATTGCTGGCAAGCTATTGCTTTGTAAATAAAGGCTTTCAGACTCTAGAGCAACCTTGTGATGAGTTGCTCCTCATTGCACATTAAAAAAACAGTGTGGGCAGAGTTGAGAGAGAGAGACAGAAACTGTGCTCAGCAAAAGTCTGAAGTCTTGACATGTGAATGTTAGAAGCATATCCGGAGAAACACATGGAGTAGAAGACTATTGTTATGGAAAATAAGATTACAGCCTGGTAAATCTTGCCTTCTCCTTAACTAGGCTGACTTGAATCCAAACTCGTGGATGTGGGCATAAAACCACAAGGCAAAGAGCTATTATCTGGGACTTCATCAACAATTCTTGGAAGTCCATGTTTACTGCATCAACTGCATTGTCCTCGTCAACACTCTCTGCTCCCTCATCAGAAAATATTGTCAAATAAGTTAAACAAAATTTGTCTTTTATCCTATCTGCGCTGGATTTCCTGAATTAATGTACACTACCCGAGTAAGGCATTACAGTTTTGCCTACCAATCTTTGATTCTACTTTACCTAGGCTAGATCTGCTGTCATTATGTGAAAATTAGCTGTCTTCTAACCATGTATTTTTGTGTTAGTTTGTGGGTTGTCATTTTCCATAGCTAAACTAAGCAATATGATTCAATTATCACTGTTCCCTAATTGTTCTCCTCTTCATGCTTGACCTATCTCATTCTCAAGAACAAGATCCAGCAATACCACCTTTCCTGGTAAACTGGAAACATGCATATCAAGAAGATTTCTCCCTTTACATGTTTCAAAAATTCTTCATTCTGCCTCTGTTCTTTACAATCTATATTAGGATAATTTAAAGTCTACCATTGTCAGAATGCTATAGTTTTTGCAACTCTCAAATTTGTTCTTCCAGATCTGTCCAATAGTTGATGCTTTGTAGAATACACCAAGTAGAGTTATACTGCCTTTAAATTTTAATTCTAACCAAAAAGATTGTTCTTCACCCTCTGTAATGGTTTCTTTTTAAATAATATTGAAATGCTTCCTTCACTTACTGCATCCACCTTGTATTCAGGAATAACTAGGACCCAATCCTGCCCTATAGTTTTGAATTGGGTCTCTAGTATTGCCACATAACAATGCCATGTGGTTACCTGCATCAGCAGCTTACCTAACCTTGTTTACCATATTTAGCTTTACTATGCATATATACAATTATACAAATTTGTAAATTATTATATGCTATTTTACTTTGACCCCGACCAATTCTTTACTAGTATTTACATTTAGTGCCTTCTGTTTCTTCTAATCCTATGCTATTGCAACATCTTGGTTATCAATCATGTAATTAAATCCTCCCAACAGCACCAGCAAACCCACAAGGACACTGGTCCTGGCTGTGTTGCGTTGCAACCCATCAGCATCTTTAGGCCCCACCTCCCCCATCAGTAGTCCCTATGTCCCAGTAATCTAAAGTGTTCCCTGATGCACCTGGGATCTGGGAAGTGTCCATTATGTGAAAGAAAAATAGTTTGGGATCATGATTTTGATCATTATAAGGAGTTTCCGAATTAATATTCGGAATATAAGTGCAATATGGGATCAGCAACAAACGCTGGCCTTACCAGTAACTCTTGCATCCCCAAAAAATTGCATAAATACCCCTTGTGTAGTGTACGATTTTGCTCTGAAAATAAAACGAGATTAAAATGGAACCCCAGATGTGGACATATAATGCATTTCAATTGGTTTAAACTCATGAGATTTGCCAATAAATAAATTGGTGACTATTGAGAGAAATATTCTAGTAAGAAAGGTCATTTGGCACAAACATTATATTTGGAGGATATGTTTAATGAAAGAACCCAGGACATTGTTTGTAGTATTAACTTTGTAGCCCAAGAACAGGACAGTCGTAACAGGTTTAGTAATTGTGGAATGTTTGCCATTTCACTGACACTTGAATATATTCTACTTTTATGTCAGTGTCCCAAAACTACATTTTTCTTTTCTCTCTCTGGTTGATGCTTGTATGGAGTCCTTGACGAAAGATTGTCAATTCTCGTCACTGTGTTCAATTATATGTTGTTCCTTCATAGGCTGTGATATGTTCAGGGCATAAATACCATATGTTATAAATCTTTATATGTCCTGCAAAATGTATTTCCAACATATAGTCTGAATTATATCTGAAAGACTTAATGTGTGTGGTTTGCAGGTTTCTACATAAAGAATATCTTTCCAAACGTTCCTTAATACCTCTTACTATAAATACCATGATATTTAAAGTATTTCTTTCATGTAATTTTTTATATTAAATCAGTTCTTTTTAATGAAAAGAGGAACATGTTGGAAACACTCAGTAGTTCAAGGATCTTTGGAGCGAGAAACCAAGTTAAAGATTCAGGTTGATGACCGTTCATGAGACATACGAGTCAGAATGTTGTTCAAGCACATTTTGGGAGTGGAAACAACAAGTTTCTTGTTAAGAAATTAATACAGCTGATGTCCTAAAGTAGCAGCCTAGGCAAGGAATATCCTCCTCCTTGGATGAAAGATCCTTAATAATGGGGGATCATTTGAGAATCAGTAACCACAAAATATTTAGATTTATTCCAAGAACATAAATGGGAACAGTTGCAGGACCGTAACTGGAACAACCTGCCTGATTTAATTGGAAGGAAAATGATTGGTGGATCAAATGATAGATTGCCGATGGAAAACATTGAAATAATTTGGAAAAGGTGCAATCAACTACATTCCAGTGAGACTAAAGCATACTTTGAAAGAATGGAAGGACATCAAACAACACTTAAGTGTTTATTGCTATGGGAGAGATAGTAAAAATGAAGGCCATGTCCAGAATAAAAAAGTTTCCAAAAAACCGAAGCTAGGAAGATACAAAGTATGAAAACAATGTAACATTAATGAGCAATTAAAAAAAACTTTTAATGGACCCATTGGTAGTAAAAGATAATTAGGTACATTTTTTCAGATGTGGCTGAGTAGTGTTCCATAGGTGTCTGTCTTGGGACTGCCTTTACTTCTAAATGATCTGGACTTCAAAGTGAAGAGCATTACCTCAATTTGCTGATAATACCAAATTGAGAGAATGGAACATTGTGGTGAGAACTGGTAGAGAGGTATAGGGAATGAGCAGGTCTGTGAGATTAAATGAAGTGACTTGTGGAAAATAAAACACAGGCAGACTTGACGGGCCCATTGCTCTGTTTATCTACTGCAACATTCAACTATGTTTTTGATTCCAGATGAATAATTTGCTTGCAGTGCCATGAATTTACTGTGCATGTCCTGAATTAACTAACTTCTGCAACTTTACTGGACTGAAAAAGTAACAATTAGTGATGAACAATGCATGTCAATAACTGCAGTAATTTCCATTCCACAGAGAAGCAATAAGCAGAGTGTGTGAGGCTGTGCCAGGTGCAAAAGGAGCCATGAGAAGAAGAAAGGTAAATAATCGGAGCAGGAGGTGTGTTGCACATTGTTCATTCTCTTCTAATCAAACAAATACAGATTTCAAATGAGTTCTGAACTAAACATTGAGAAACAAATATAATCACTGTAATTTGAAATTTACACTCTATAAATGAGTGGGCTAATTGGCATCTGTCACTTGTCTGTAATCTTTTCCGTTCTCATTAGTATTACTATGCCCTTGTAGGCCAACAATTTGTGTTTTACAATCTGGGATCTTTAGTCTATATCAGTTTATCAAATGCATCTTAAAGTCCGTGCTTCATAAGGCTTTCCTTTTGAAAAGATTGGGAAAAAACTGCTGCAACTCCTGAGATAAAAGTGAAGTGCCCAAGTTCCTAAACCGAACCTTGTTTCTTTCTAACTGGGAAGTGAGCACCAGCTTCCACTGTTGAGTGAACACGCTGTTCCTTTTTTTTTAAATACTTATCTCAGTCCACTATAAAAAGGATCTTAATTTAACAACTAATTTAACAACTGTCAACAATGTGGAGTGTCAAATGTGCAAACCAAGACAGCATTAAAGTTGAAAAGAGTATACAAGAAGACTTTGCAAATCAAAATATGGCTGTTGAGTGGCACCAAAATTTTAAACATCTATAGATTGCAGGAGGGCTGAAAGCTTGCAAGAATGAAGAATTTTAAAGCTGGACCTTTAAGGGTTTCTTTTAACGAAGTGAATATTACTTTGGCTGTTTAAATCGTGCATTATAGTTAACATTCCAGCTTTTAGAACATACTTGGAATTTGCTTTCCTAGGTATAATTCCAGATCGTGAGGATTTGTGACCACCACCTTAGGTTGTACCTTTGATATTTCAAAGCCCATCATTAGGATGGCACTTCTATTCTCCCTCAGCCCCATCTTTAGAGCTTTGTTCATCAATATCTCCCCATTGTGACCTAGCCAAGACTCAGTATGAAAGATAATCTTAGCGTACCGATCATTTTGATGTTCTTTTTACATTTTCTGCTGTAAGATTGGGAAACAAATAACTCTGGTCATATTTGGACTTGCAGCCTCCCAGCAAAGGGTTGTCTACAATCTTGGGGAAGAGTAACCTCCAATTTTCAGGAATGAACATCATAATGAGCATCTCTACACGCAGTCTCAACTTGACGCTCCCACATTCCAAACAGGTGAGTGTCATCAATTGGGATTGGTTCAATATTGTAGGAGGGCCATTTTAACACTTGGGAATGATATAAACTATGTGATATTGATTGTGTCTCTTCAGGCAGCCTACCCTGTTCCACATCTCCAGAGTTATTTCCATAAATTAGTGATGGTCCATACCGTTCCTAGTGTTATTCTGGGGTATCTGCCTTTGAAGAAATGGTGGTGTGGCAGAGCCAGACCATATCACTCCCAGTGAGTGTGAGCCAGTCTAGAAAGGTTTCCCAAGAGATGGATTTTTTTTTTGTTTTGTTTTGTTCTTCTGCTCTTCTCTGATAATGTGCTATTTTCCTGTCAGCATTCTGGCTGAAACAGACCCAGCACCAAATTCCTCTTCTCCTGGTTTAGATTGCTTCATAAAGTACCTAAAACAGCAACAAATCTGAGCAAATTACATTTTAACTTTGTGTGCAGTAACCTAAAAGCCCTTGCATAAGCTTTCCATTATTTCTGTTTTCACTCCTATGCCCTTCATAATTAAATAGACCTATGCAAAGTTAAAATTGGGACTAATTGAATATATTTTCAACATTGAATATTGATTGACTTAGTGAAGAAAAGGATAGAGGGAAGAAAGAGAATAGATAAACATGAGGTACAATTGTTTGTTGCGGTCACTTGGCAAACAAAAGTGTAATATATTAGATATTGTGAATTAATTAGCTGGCATTTAAATTGATCATATTACCAGCTTGAGGTAACATCCAATTTGTTATAACAAGGTGTAGAGCTGGATGAACACAGCAGGCCAGGCAGCATCAGAGGAGCAGGAAAGCTGACTTTTTGGGTCTGGACCCTTCAGAAATGGGGAGGGGAAGGAGACTCTGGAATAAATAGAGAGCGGGGGAGGCGATGATGGAAGGTGGATAGAGGAGCAGATAGGTGGAGAGAAGACAGACAGGTCAAGGAGGCGGGGATGGAGCCAGTAAAGGTGAGTGTAGGTAGGGAGTTGGGATGGGGGTTGGGTAGGTGGGAGCGAAGACAGACAGGTCAAGGAGGCGGGGATGAGGCTAGTAGGTAGGAAGTGGGGTGGGGGTTGGTCAGTGAGGTGGGAGGAGCGGATAGGTGGGAGAAAAGACAGACAGGTCAAGGAGGCAGGGCCGAGCTGGGCTGGTCTTGGGATGAGGTCGGGGGTGGGGAAATTTTTGAAGCTTGCAAAGTCCACATTGAGACCATTGGGCTACAGGGTTCACTGACCAACCCCCACCCCAACTTCCTACCTACTAGCCTCATTCATGTCCTTGACCTGTCTGTCTTCCCTCCCACCTACCTGGCCCTCCCTCCCAACTGACCAACCCCCATCCCAACTCTCTACCTACACTCACCTTTACTGGCTCCATCCCCGCCTCCTTGACCTGTCTGTCTGCTCTGCTCTGCTCCTCTATCCACCTTCCATCATCGCCTGCCCCTCTCTCTATTTATTTTAGAGTCCCCTTCCCCTCCCCCATTTCTGAAGAAGGGTCCAGACCCGAAATGTCAGCTTTTCTGCTCCTCTGATGCTGTTTGGCCTGCTGTGTTCATCCAGCTCTACACCTTATTATCTCAGACTCCAGCATCAGCAGTTCCTACTATCTCCAATTTGTTGTAGATGTTTTTAATCAACCTGTTCAGGTGTGTTATGACACGCCACTGAAGCAGGCAGGACTTGATCCGAGGCTTTCCAGTGTAGAGGTAGGGACGTTACCATTGCACCACAAGAGCCCAATAAAATCTAATGTACACTTGGAAATTAGCCCCATTATTTCCAACAATGCAACTAAATAAACTTTTTCCTCTGTCTTTTAAATCAAGATGCCAAGTCTTAGACTAATCCTAGCATTGAACACCTGACTTCAAGGTATGGAGAGCAAACCAAGTCTATCTGTAGTTCTAAGCACGCTCTAGGAATTAGATAAACCACTCCTTTATAACTGCACTGTTAACTGGAGGAGAAGAATATGAGCTACTATTAGAACTGTAACTGTTTCCAAAATATATTGTTTAACTTACAGAAAAAATACCTTTATTCATCCATCAAAGATCCTGAAGCAATCTTTTTGTTTACCTTCGTTGGTTATGATGTGTGAGGTGACTGTTATGCAAGACAAAACAGATGATACATCTTTCACTTTTGTAATTCCTTGTGTGTCAGCACTTACATTGGTTGCACACGTCAGACAGAATGCAAATCTCTCAAAAGAGATTTCAATAAAAGGTATTTTAAGGTGTTTTGGTGGAGGGGACGTGGTGGTGAGTTAAATGACTTACAATCTATTTTTTGGTATAAAATGTGATCTTGAAGAGATGAAATGACATTAAAAGAACCAAGAAATTATGGTAATAGCTGGTGTGCTGAAAGGATGAGGGAAAAACAAAGGAAAAGTGGGGAAAATGTGGAGAAAATGCAAGCAATCTAAAATTATAAGACAGAATGCTTCAAGCACAATCCTCAGGAGAGAAAGAGGACAAGACAGCACCCTGCTCACTAACTGAATCAAGGACCTTAATATTCTGGTAAATGTTGTATACCTGAAACATTAATGCACTTGTGTTTAAAAACAAAATTCCATTCTGAGAGCCACAAAGTGCCGGGAGAGGAATGAGGCATGATTTTAATTCATTCAAAAGCCATTCACTGGAATTAAAATTGTACCTGTTATTCCTGAAGCATTGGGGTTCCTTGATTGGTATTCAATTTGTCTTCTTCCAAAGCTTGGTGATACTAAAACTACAATGACCATATTTACACTCTTCAATTTTCTAATTATTGTTACTTTTAACAGTAAAATTGGTAGCTCTTCTCCTCTTTTCAAAAAACCACACTTGCTAATATGCTGACAAAGTACTAGCATATTTGACAAGGAAAGGCTTATAAATTTCTGTTTCATTCTAGCTGAAATTTCAATGTTGGATTTAGGTGTAATTTTAAAGTAGAAAAAGAAATGTTGGAAATCCAGTTCCAGTTTAGGAAGTTTTTTTTTCTGTTTTACAGATCATCGCCAACCACCACATGCAGTCAATCTCATTCGCCTCTGGAGGCGATCCAGTGAGTAATGTTCCATGTCATTATATTTGCGGAAGGAAATGTGTCTCTTGAATGCAGCATTGTTGGTGATGGAATATTGTGATTAACTACTGCAAACATTATGTAAAAGATTAATTAGAATTGGACTAGTTCTCTTTCTACTTTGTTATTTATTGGGTTTGGCAGGCAACAGTTACACCTTGCTACCTATTTCCTGACACCGCTGTCTGGCCACCCCCACCCAACTACCCCACCTCCCCACCATAAGCTGCCTGATGCATGTCTAGACTGCATGGAACAATGACCGTCCTAACTGTCCCTTCAACTAAACTACAGCCAGATAGAAACATACAAAGTAGGAGAAGGCTACTTGGTCCTTTGAGCCTGCTCTGTTGTGATCATGACTGATCCCCATCTCAGTACCATATTTCTACTTTCTGATTGATTTATTGCCATGTGAGCCAAAATACAGTGAAAAGCTTTGTTTACAAGTGGTACAGGCAGAATGCAGTAAGCAAGGGATGTACGGATCAAAAAGACTTAACCTGCAATGTAATCTATATGCTTTTATGGCATTTGAGGCTAGAGTCAATTCAACAGTCTGATAATGGCTGGAAAGAAGCTGTTCTTGAACCTGGTTGTGCACAAGTTCAGTATCTTCTGCCTGATGGAAGAGTTTGTAGGAGGTAAATACCAGGGTGCGATGGGACTTCTATGATGTTGGGGGCCTTTCTGTGGCAGCGAGCCGTGTAAAGAGTCCATGGATGGAAGGGTGGCTTCCATGATGGTCTGGGCTGTGCACACCACCTTCTGTAGTTTCTGATGGTCCTGGGCAGAGCAGTTGCCGTACTAGGCTGTAATGTACCTGGACAGTATGCTTTCAATGGTGCATCTGTAGAAGTTTGTGAGGGTCATTATGGACATGCCAACTATCCTGAGCCGCCTGAGGAAGAAGATGCATTCTTGTGCCTTCTTGACTGTCACATTTATGTGGGAAGTCCAGGACAGGTCATCAGTTATTGTCACTCCAAGGATTTGATGGTGTTCGTTCTCTCAACCTCGGTTCTGTTGATGTAGATGGGGGCATGTTCTCCCCCTTTCTTTCTGAAGCCTATGATCAGTTCTTTAGTTTTGCTGACATTGCGAGACAGATTGTTTTCATTGCACCACGTCACCAAACCCTCTATTTCCCTTCTATATTTTGACTCGTTGTTAGAGATCCGTCCCACTCCTGTGGTATCATCAACGAACTTGTGGATGGGGCTCGTTCAGAATTTGGCAACACAATTGTAGGTGTACAGGGAGTACAGTAGGGGGCTCCAGTGTTGTTATTGTGGAGGAGGTGCAGTTACTTATTCTCACTGATTGCAGTCTATGCGTCAGAAAGCTGAGGATCCAATTGCATAGGGTGGAGCCGAGATCAAGGTCACGGAGTTTTGAGATCAGTCTGGAGAGGATAATGTTGTGAAGGTGGAGCTGTAGTCAACAATTCTTTTTTCTAAAAATTATCTATCTCTTTCTTGAATATATTCAGTGACTTAGCCTCCAAAAACTTCTGTGGTAGAGAATTCTATAAGTTCACTACCCTTCTGAGTGGAGGAATATTTCCTCACCTCTGTCCTAAATGGTCTACCCCGTATCTTAAGACTGACCCCTTTGGTTCTAGACTCCCCACACAGGGAAAACGCCTTTTCTGCAACCAGTCTGTTCAGTTCTGTTAGAGTTTTATACATTTCTGTCAAATCCCATCTTATTCTTCAAACTTCCAGAGAATACAGGCCCAGTTGGACCAATCTGTCCTCGTACAACAGTCCTGCCATCGTGGTATCAGCCTACCAAACCTCTGCTGCACTCTCTCTTTGACAAATATATCCTTTCTTGGATAGAGAGACCAAAACTGCATTCAATATTCCAGCTGTAATTGCACCAAGACCCTGTATAACTGTAGTAAGACATCTCTACTTCTGAACTCAAATCTTCATGTAATGAATGAAGACTAGTGTACCATTTGACCTCCTAATTGCTTGCTGCATCTCCTTGTCTAATATCATCGTTGTACAAGGACATCCTTTAGTACATGTGCCTGACTCCATATACCATAATTTAAATAACATTCTCCTTTCTGATTTTCACAGCTAAATATGAGATTTTCACTTTATGTTGTACTGTTTTTTGTTTGTTTTTGTCATGTTTGACCACCCACTCAACTTGTCTAAATCACCTTGAAGCCTCCTTGCATTCTTCTTTAGATTTCTATATCCTGCTTTGTTTTGTCATCAGCAAACTTGGAAATGTTGCATTTCGTTCCATCATCCAGGATATTTTATTATATTATGAATGGATGGACCCCAAGCACTGGTCCTTACCCTTCTCGCCTGCCACCCTGGGGGGTGGGAATACCCATTTATTCCCACTCTGTTTCTTGTCTATCAACTAATTCTTGATCCATGATAATACGTTACCCTCTTCCCCCAAATGCTTTAGCTTTGTCCACGGCATCTTAGGAGGGAGCTTATCAAACGCCTTCTGAAAATCCAAGACATCTCACACACTGATTCTCTCTCATCTATTCTACCAGATGAGAGAATCCATTTTCTAATTCATTTCAAATATTTAGAATATGTTTTAAAAACATCATTTCCTCATGTTACATTGAAATATTTTCAATTATGTCCTTCTTAAAAAAAACACGTGTTTTTATTCAGCAGTGTTTGGTGAATGCACAGTTAGTGCACAGTCCAGTTAATTTCACAGAAAAACAGAATTGATTCTGTATTTTGAATGTACAAGAAAAGTACAGGAATCTGGATTATGGTGGTAGTTTGAAATTCTGTCATTAAATTCATAAAACATTACAAATAAATGCCAATGGAGTAAAATTTCAGAATTGTTATGGATTGTACCTTTTTCACAAAAAATACATCTTATTCAATGTAGAGAAGGAGCTCATTATAACACATGCTGGGGTTAAAAAGGTAAAAATGTTATGGTTGTACCCATCATGGTGTTACTGAGAAAACTCCTCACATTTTATCTTAATCGTTATTTTTAGATAGGAAAATTAAGCTCTTGAAAACCATTAGATCCTTGTGGTATGTGAACTGCATTGTAATGGACTTCCACAGTACTGGCAAACAGATTTATTTCATCCAAACAAAGCTTATATTTAGATGTAAAATATAAATGAAATGTTTCCAAAAATATTATCCCTCTGTTAGATTATTATTATTCCAATATGACTGAGGATCCATATGTTCATGTGTATGCCACATTTCTCACTACTGCACTTCAGTCTGTATTGAGAGCCAGCAGTATTTCAGTCCAGAGCATATGATGGGTTCAGAGTCATACAGTTGATAAAGCTACAGTAATTGAATCTAAAAGGCTGATTACTCCAAACTTTTGGGGATTCAGAAGATTTCCTGTTCATTATTTTAGGATTTTGTAAGCAAGGCAGGGGAACTGTATTGTAGAGGTGCAGAGCTGGATGAACACAGCAGGCCGAGCGGCGTCAGACGAGCAGGAAAGCTGACGTTTTGGGCCTTTCTGAAGAAGGGTCTAGGCCCGAAACATCAGCTTTCCTGCTCCTCTGATGCTGCTTGGCCTGCTGTGTTCATTCAGCTCTGCACCTTGTTATCTCAGATTCTCCAGCATCTGCAGTTCCTACTATCTCTGGGACTGTATTGTACTTTTTTTTTCTTTATTCATTCATGGGATGAGGGCATCACTGGCTAGGCAGCATTTTATTGACTGTCCCTAATTGTCCAGAGGCCAATTCAGAGCCAACCACATTGCTGTGGGTCTGGAGTCACATGTAGGCCAGACCAGATAAGGATGGCAGTTTCCTTCCCTAATGGACATTAGTGAACCAGATGGGTTTTTTCCGGCAATCAACAATGGATTCATGGTCATCATTAGATTCTTAATTCCAGGTATTTATTGAATTCAAATTCCACCATCTGCCATGATGAGATTTGAACCCTGGTCCCCAGAATATTATCTGCTTCTCTGGATTAACAGTCCAGCAATAATACCATTAGGCCATCATCTCCTCAACCATGAATGATGGCTCAAACTCCATCCCAAATAATCTTTAATCCACTTCCAGAATGTGGGCTTTACTGGTAGTGCCAGCTTTTATTACCCATCCTTATTTCCCCTGAGAAGGCAGTGATGTGCTGCCACTACCTTGAATCACAGCGCTCCATATGTTCATGTTACAGACAAGGAGGTGCTGAAGGCCTTAAAACATAAAGGCAAATAATCCCCAGGACCTGATCAGGTGGGAGAAGCCAGGGAACTATAGACCAGTGAGCCTTATGTCAGTGGTGGGTAAGTTGTTGGAAGAGATTTTGAGGGACAGGATTTATATGCATTTGGAAAGGCAAGGACTGATTAGGGATAGTCAATATGGCTTTGCGTGTGGGAAATTGTCTGTCTCTCACTAACTTTAATTTGAGTCTTTTTGAAGAAGTGACAGAATTGGTGAAGGCAGAGTAGTTAATGTTGTCTGTGTGGATTTCAGCAAAGCATTTGATGAGGTTCTGCATGTTGGAAGGGTTGGTAAGGTTAGATCACATGGGAGTCAAGGGAAGCTAGGCAATTAAATACAAAATCGGCTCTAAGGTAGGAGACAGAGGGTGGTGTTGGAAAGTTGCTTTTCAGACTGGAGGCCTGTGACCAGCAGGGTGCCACAAAGATCATTGCTGGGTCTGCTGCTTTTCAACATTTGTATAAATGATCTATATGTGTCATGATATTGTGGCTCTAAGAGGTGTATTTTGTCCTTTTCTTAAGAAGAGGTTTTAAGGCTGAGGCACTGAGCAGTCTACACAGCTAATAGAGTCAACAGTTAGTGAGACCTTGGATTTTTTTTTTACATAAGGTTAGAGCATTAGAAGCAGTCTGAATGGGTGTATTAAGCTTTCGCAGAACCAGGATTTTTTAAAATGGTTTTTCAGTAGCAGCAGTTGTTGCTGGCATCTCAGCAGGATTGAAAGCTGCAGTACATCTCTTGCTGTTACTGTCTCCCTCAGAGTTTTCTCTTGGTGATTTTCCTCTTGGGCTGCTAGAATTGCATGTGAGACAATCTATTTTGTTGACTTTGACCTTGTCAAGGGTCTGTGTATGGAATGCTACTATATTGGAACAGTTACTGTTTAGTAGTAAAATAATCTATTCTATTAAGTTTTCCAACAGAGTTAAGATTCTCCACTTTCCTCTTGCTTTTGTTGTATTTTAAATATAGTGAATGAACAAAGTTTGTTTTGCTTCAAATCTGATAGTTTGACAATGAAATTGTATGTAGAATGCAACGCCTGGCACTTGCCTTTAAAATAAGACGAAATTAAGGTCTAGGCTATCATTTTAATATATTTTGTGGAGTTCTGGTCTGGCCCATAACAGATGTGAATATAGGAAGTAAGGTTAGTAAGTTTGCAGATAACACCAAAATGGATGCTGTAATGGACGGTGAAGATGATTATCTCGGAGTACAATGGCACCTTGATCAGATGGGCCAATGGGCTGAGGAGTGGCAGATGGAGTTTAATTTAGATAAATGTGAGGGGTTGCATTTTGGGAAGGCAAGCCAGGACTTGTACCGTTAATGGTAGGGTCTCCTAACGTTTTAGAGTAGATTTGTAGCTCGGGTTTTGGATGTTGTAGTTGGTTGGCTCGCCGAGCTGGTTCATTGTTTCACAGAAGTTTCATTTTGAGGAGTGTTGCCCAGCAAAGCGGTGTAGGGCATGGTTCCTTGAAAGTGGAGTCACATGTAGACAGGATAGTGAAGTTGTTCAGAACGCTTGCCTTCATAGGTCACAACATTTAGTGTACGAGTTGGGATGTCATATTGTGGTTGTACAGTACATTGGTGAGGCCACTTTTGGAATACTGTGCACAATTCTGGTCACCCTTCTGTAGGAAGTTGTTAAACTTGAAAGAGTGCAGAAAAGATTTGACAAGGATGCTGTCAGGACTGGAGGGTTTGAATTATAGGAAGAGGCTGAATAGGCTGGGACTTTATTCCTTCGAGTATCAGAAGCCGAGGGGTGACCTTTATCAAGGTTTATAAAATCATGAGGGGTACGGATAGGGTGAATAGCAAAGGTCATTTTCCTAGGGTGGGGGAGTCCAAAATTAGCGAGCATAGGTTTAAGGTGAACGGGGAAGGACTTGAGGGGTAACTTCTTCGCAAGGAGGATGGTGCGCATATGAAACAAGCTGTCAGAGGAGGTGGGTAGGATTTAGAAGGAATATAGGCCAAATAATGGCAATTTTTTTCCCCAGAGTTGAAATGCCTAAAACTACAGGGTATGCATTTAAGGTGAGAGGGGAAAGTTTTACACACACAGGTAAGGAGTCTGGAATATGCTGCCAGGGGTGGTATTAGAGGCAGATACAATAGGGCCATTTAAAAGACTTTTCGATGAGCACTTGAATCCGCCAGGATTGGAGCGATATTGACCAAGGGCATGCAGAAGGGATCAGTTACATTTGGCATCATGTTCAGCACAACATCGTGGGCTGAAGGACCTGTTCCTGTGCTGTTTTGTTCTATGTTCTAAATGGGACCAGGAACATCTGGTCGGTACGGACAAGTTAGACCAAAGGGTCTGTTTCCACGCTGTATGACTCTGATTCTGTAAGGATATGCCAAAAGCACATTTCTGATTTGATGAGGCATTTCCATCAATTTTGAACAAGGATTTCTGTTCCTAAGTGCCAATTCTTTCACGATCATTGCTGATTTGTCAGTGATTATCTTTCCTTGCACGACAACATGGATATTTATTTCTTGTCAATTGATTACTATTACTTTGTTTGTCATTATGCTTGATTGGAATTAATTTTGGAACCTCTCCAGCCATGGCTTTGTTATTATCTGAAGAACGCTTCTGCAATTTATGGAATATTTGCTAAGCAGTGGAGTCTTGTTTATTTTACTTTTATTACCTCGCCTTTTTGGCAGGATCTGGAACTGTAAAGATAAAGAAATTATTACAATTTGTGTGCCTTTATCAGGACATGAGAATCCTTGTTTGTTTTTTTTAGGTTAGTTGTTTTTAATGAAAACATTTGCAGCGATCATTCTGTTCAGGATTTGTGCTTCAAAATGGTAAATGTTAGAAACTCAGCATTCAAAAGAGAATTGGGTTAATGTTTTTGGTAAGATTCTTCTTCAGAATTGTTACTGTAAGGCAACGGAATACTTTATATGCATACTGTTTTGTCAACAATGTTCCCCTTCCATTTTCTTTGTGTACAGCCTGTTTATTGTGTTGTGTGGTAGATTGTAGCACCGAAGTGCACCCACACAATTTAGTGAAACATTGCCTACCAGATCATGACAAGTCAATTAGGGACATCCCTGTGAAACATAAAGTTAGGTTTCTCTTTCAGGCATTGGCAGACCCCTGCCTTATATTTCCAAAACTTAAATTTTTTTTTCAGTTTTCCAGCAGATGTCATCTTTGTCTATACAGGATCTGTACACACCACGCACATCATTTGTAATATCTTTTGATCTCTGCCCATAAATTGTGTTTTGTGTGCTTCTGTCTCTCTCCTCCTGACAAAGGGGCTACACTCCGAAAGCTTGTGATTTCAAATAAACCTGTTGGACTATAACCTGGTGTTGTGTGACTTCTGACTTTGTCCACCCCAGTCCAACACCGGCACCTCCACATCATGTACAGGGTTTGTTTTACTTTGCATATAGAGTCTCCTGTTTCCCTAATACTGAAACTGTGCAATTCCATGCTAGTTTCTAATGAAGTGTTCTGTTCTGAATTTTCATATTAAATTTCAGATATTTTATTACAATGATTTGAAACTCATTCTTGACAAGTTATGAGTGATAACTGTAAAACTCCCTCTTTTAGGACACAACTGATTATGTTGCTTATGTTGCCAAGGACCCAGTAAATCAAAGAGGTATGTAATTGCTCTTTCATGCATTCCATTTCAACAATAAATCTAATGATACTATAGCAATTATGTTGTATCACTGTCCTTGAGCTAAAGGTTGTTTAACTTTGCACATTTGAAACATTGTTTTTTTTTAAATTCTGGTGCCTATAGAAAATGCATCACCAGAACAATTAGAAAGGCAGACTATAAATTGAGTGCCACAATTATATTCAACCATGAGTTATCTATAAATTTGATCAGTGAGTATGTATAACTGTAATTGCTTAACTATTTCATAAAATGTTCAATTACCTGCCTTTATATCAAGTGGAGAAGTACATAATGAGCTAAATACTAATACTTGTGTTTCTGTACATAATTATTGGTGTTAATAATGTTTAGCAATGATAAAACTTCAACACACTGTAAAAGGAAGCAATTTGTATTAATCTTGAAATGGGAGTGCTAGAATTCATGTAACCTTCTGCTGTTTAATGTACTATCATTTCATAGGCAAGATCAAACTCATTTTGCATTATTTTTCAGCCTGCCATATTCTAGAGTGTTCTGATGATTTAGCCCGGGATGTTATAAATACCATAGGAAAAGCATTTGAACTTCGTTTTAAACAATACTTGAAGAATTCACCTGTAGTTATTACGCCTAATGAAAGGTCAGTATTTTTTAAAAGCTTTATTTGAATAAAAATCATAATATCTGAATATTCACAATTTTAAAAAATTAAAAACATTAATAAGTATTACAAACTAATTGCCAGGAAATGGTTTTTATGTAGCCCACTACATAAAACAAGATCATCTGATGAAGTGGTTACAGATGTTTAAATATGTCTTTGCTGCTATTCTTGTGTTGCAGAAGACCAGGCCTTGCAATATGGAACGTGGAGGGTGATGAAGATCAGAACCATGGATACTACAATGAAACAGCAGGTAAACTAGCACCACCTGGAAGTCCACAAAATGCAAAAGTAAAGAAGGACGCAGCAGCCTACAGTAATAACAGCCAAATAAAAAAAGATGGAGACTTTTTGCAGGTTAGTGAAATGTTTTGGTAGTATTTCAGTGTCAGCTCTAGTTAGAGTATTAGATTCTTTAAATAAATATTCTCATTTCAAAAGGGTGACTGTCATTTTACAATTGGATATGAATTGCTGGAAATGTTTTGAAAGATTTTACATCTTGCGTGTACTTTTATTTCTTTAGGGGAAACCCAGGTCAATATTTATAGTGCAAGAAATCATCAACATTAAAAAGACTAGAAGATAAAGGCTGGATGAAGAATGTTTGTGTAGCAGGAATGGAAATTACATTTGCTAAATAGTGACTTACCAACATGGTGATACAATTAACCACTTATTTATTATTATATTGTTTGAAGCTGGTACTGGACACATGCAAAATGCAGCTTTGAATATTGGAATTGTAGTTTTGTGTTTGCCTCCCAGCAGGACTAAGCTTAAGACAAGGTTTAATCACACAATAAGGGGTGCCAATTTAAGACTGATGGTAGGAATTTCTTCTGAGGGTTGAGTGTGTTTGGAACTCCTTGTCACAGAGCTGTTAGGCCAAAATCCAGAATGTATATTTAAGATTGAGAGAGATTCTTGATTAGTAGGAGATTCAAGGGTTATGGGGAAAGGGCAGGGAAGTGGATGAGAGGAGTGTCAAATCTGCCATGATCCTATTGAATGGCAGAGCAGGGAGGAGCCGAACCAGCTACTCCTGTTCATATTTCTTGTGGTATTATGGACTTCCAATGCTGCAGCACTAACTGCATTCAAGAATCCTGGAGATTGGGGGAAGATGCCTCAATGGTAGAATCAATCAAGATGCTGAACCACCAGCAAATCATAGAATCCCTACAGTGCAGATAGAGGCTATTTGGGTCTGCGCCAACCATCTGAAGAGCATCCCACCCCAACCTACAATTCCCCCAGCTCTGCAACCCCACATTTACCATGGCTAAAATCCACCTTACCCGCACACTACGGGGCAGTTTAGGATACTGAATCCACCTAACCTGCACATCTTGTGGGAGGAAAGCAGAGCAGTCGATGGAAACCTATGCAGACACTGGGAGTTTGCACAGACAGTTGCCCAAGGCTGGAATTGAACGAGGGTTGTTGGTGCTATGAAGCAGCAGTTCTAACCACTGTGACACCCTGGGCATGCTAGGTTGAGGAGGCTAGGGTAATAGCTATTACGCAGTGGGGTTCCGTAAGGATCGGTACCTGGGGTTTTGGGAGTTCACAATATATTCCAATTATTTGGATGTGGGGAGTAAATTTCACATATACTATCTTAAGGATGATGTAAAGCAGTGGGAATATGTGCAATGATGAAAGATGCAAAGTGGCTTCAAGAGGATTTGGACAGACTTTGTAAGTGGGCAAGAACAAGGTTGATGGAATGTAATGTGGAAAAATGCGAGATCGTCCACTTTTGGTGGAAAGAACAGATGCACAGAATGTTTCTTAAGTTGTAAGAGAGTGTATGTATAAATACATAAAAGGTTCTCGTCAATAATTCACTCATCATGCAGAGTAATGGTACATTAGCCTTTATCATAAGAGGATTAGAGTACTTCATCGGTCTTGTCCCTGAAATGGTAAGACTGTCCTATGAAGAAAGATTGGGGAAAAGTAGGCCAACTTTTAATGAGATGTGCACTAAATGAAATCTTTAAAATGCCTAAAAGAGTGGACAGACTATGTGCAGTATAATGTGCCCAAGGTTGGGGAATCTAGGACCAGGAGAGACTATTTCAAAATGAGAGGGAAACTTTGGAATTCTTTTTCCAGAGGACTGTGAAAGTTTACTCAATGAGTGGGTGCAAAATAGAGAGGCAGTTGAGTAAAATCCAATGATGTAGAGGGAAATTGGGATAGTGTAGGGTAAAGATATTGAAGTGGATGCTCAACCATGATTATGTTGAATGTGCCTGCTACCCCAATGGGCTGAATGCCCCCCTGTTCCGATGCAGGGCATATACTTCAAAACTCTTTAAAATTCCAGCTCATTGACTCTGCATTCAGAATTGAGCTTCCCACTTTATATGTACCCTTTTTTGTGTAAGATGCTATAAAAATGAAGATGGTCTAGAGATTACATGTTCCCATTGGCTGTTTCTGGCATGGAGTCATGTAAATTAGGTCAGGTGGCTAGCCTGCCACCTTCTCATCCATCTCAAACTAATCCCCTAAAGCAGTGGGTGGATGCCAAAATGGGAAGCTTGCCTACCATGTGTAAGTAATTAAGGATCTATTGTTCTTGTTAAATGTTCAATTGACCCCAATAATATGCAGCCCTACTAAATTACAGCTAATGTAGGCAGGCAGTTAGATGAGAAGAGGCAGACCATTTTTACAGGCCAATGTGAACGCAGGAGGGAAGAAAGAAAGGGTACCTGATTTGGACAGTGCCATGTGCACAGGGGCAGTCTCCTAGATGCCATACCACCTTTTTTCTTCTGTGCAGCTTGCCCAATAAAGCTTGTCCCCACACCTAGCTATACACACCCCACCCCACACGTGCACTTGTGTCACATGCACACGCATGACACCGCGTTCCATGCCACCCGCATAAGCATAACGCACTACATGCACATGCATGACACACCGCATGCACGCGCCACACACACCTCACCCACATGCAGTGGCACGCATATGCGCACACAGCAAAAGCAATTCTGCCCAACCAAAAACACAGGAATTTACTCTTTTTATTGGGACTGTGCCTATGAGGGCCAGACACAGATATCAGGGGCCCCCAGTGCTGCTCTGGCCCTCCCTTAACCCAAGCACTTCAGCCGAGGGAACAGCAGGACTCCCATAGAACGCAAGTCCTTGGATATTGAGCCCTGATGTACCACTCTTGTCTTGGGCACTGGTGCCAACTACTGATCTTTGGTGCCGCTGGGATTGATGGAGCTTCTGGCTAATCAATGACTGAAAGCTCCCAAGGACTGGACAAACAAAGCATGGAAATCCTACAGTAAAACAGTTTAGCTCATTTGCACCAAATTAAGATTACAGGCTGAGTTTCGTAATGGTCTATCAGTCCTTTCCAGGAATTCACGAACCACCGTTCCCTCCATCCTGCACAACCCCTGAAATTTTCTGCCCCATGTTTCTGCAATCTGACTGAGTTATTGTATGCAAAGTAATTTTATACATTGCACTTAATTTGAAATGGTTTGCTGTTCTCTTGATGTTGAATGTGTTGTTTTCACAGACTGCTAGCCCATCATCTGTTACTACTTATGAAAATTATTCAGACCCACACAAAGAAACCTTCATTATGGCAGGTATGTAATGTACGTCCCCAGATTTAAAATTGTAAAATTTAGTCCATATTTGAAAATACTGCAAATTTTTGTGATTTTCTTTTATGGAGTGTGAAATTCAAAGTCTCATTTGTTGCACAAACAGTATATGCCATATTTGAATTTGTTGATTTTCATTGTTGACTCCGACCTACATTTGCTAAAGTTCCAATATTCATGCTTTCTGTTGGTTTTGTTATTTACATTTCATGAAGCACAATTTCTGTTCCACGCATAATAATAACTTTAGACTTTTCGTACTGAGCCTTAAATATTTCCACTTATGGACACAACGGAGAAATGGGCCAGAATTTATTGTTCAACACTTATTGTCCTTGAGAGGTCGCAGGAAGTCAGTGCAATATACATTGGAAAATGGTGATGAGCAACAAGTCCAGGCCTGTTTTCTAAAAACTGTCAATCATATATAAAATGTAGTGGGATTTAGTTTGATGTTTTTGAGTTTCTTCCACTGGCAGTCAAAGCTCATATACCAAACCACTGAAAAGGGCATACTGTTGAAGTTGTAGAAAAGATTTTATACACACAGTGCTGCAGAATTGGTAAAGCCAATCATTCTTTTTGTGCTTCTTTAGCCTTATTTTTTCGGCTTCTTTATTATTGCTGGTGGCTTGCTTATTTCTAAATTTTGTGAATGTTTTGTGACTTTGTTTTCAATTCTGTTGGCTACTTAATCATGGGCATGCTTCAAACTTTTAACTTGTGATTTATTGTGTGAGATGTGATTAAAAATAAGTATACACAACTTTTGTTTTACGACATATTAGATGATGTGCTCTGGAATTACTTATGCCTAAAAGTTTCTAGGAACATATGTTTACCAAGTAGATTGAACAGTGCCACTAAGTCATCTGCATATAAGCAGCTACTTTAAATTCAGAATTGCTTTAATCTGTTTTAGAATATATAAGTGCAGCTTCCATATTTACTTTTATTGTCAAAGCATAAATTCAATGATTCTATAAAGTAAGGATCCTACATAATTAATATTTCAGGCAATTCATGGACTAGATTTCCACAAACTAATAGAAATATTCTGCCAATCAAAGCCATCAGCAGGTCTGATCTTTTTGATGATCCATCTTACATGAACACCCAGCATGTGGAAAAACCCACTTCTTCTGCCAGGACTGGAACTTCAGGCCAGATCTTTGATAACATGTGCAAAGATGTATATGACCAAAGTAAGTTAATTCAAAAACTGAGAATCTCCATCCAAAACTGAAGTTCATTGTTGCGTTACTACTGATACAGGCTTCAGAAGTCTCTGTAGTTTTGTAATCTTTTAAGACTGGCTGTTCATTTTACCAATTTGATAGCAACTTTCACATTCCATGAATAAATCTTTAAAAATGTTCGACCCACTTGAGCTATTTCCTGCCGTTAACTGTGGACAACTTACCTTGCGGAATCTATTAAATACTTCAAGCATTTTCTGAGTATAGATGAAATTATTCAACTTGGGTGAGTGGCATAAAACTCCCAATAGTGGACTTACTGCCCATTCTATTCTTCTGGTAGAATGGATTACAGGTGCCAAATCTGCAACTTCCCCTATCACACTTGAGCTAATGTGGGAAGTTTCATCCTGTTCTTGTGATCTCCACCATTGGCAGTTCTTTTTAATTTTACTTTTATCTGTACAGGCTCTACTTATTTGTTAATTCCACCAATTAAAACTTTAATGAAAAGCATATCCAATATTTTAGAACTGCAGAATAGTGTAGGTGAGGGCAGTTAATGATGCTGTAGGATGATATGGTAAATGTTTGGTTCCCCCACTTTTTTTTTTGTTTGAAATGCCCCACTCACTGCTCTGAACATGGAGTTGATGCTACCCTATAGAGTTCTCAGTAGATTATTTTCATGTTGCAATTAACAAGCTTGAAGTTGCAGCTGTACAATGCCTCGAGGTCTCAGCATAGGGAGGAAAGTAGATCAGTACAACTTAACATGAAGGAATGTACCATTAAGAAAACAACATAACCATGGCTTCAGCATTGGGTATCAGAATCTGTTTAGACAGTTCTTGAGTCATGGACATGTCATGGTTAGAACCGTTTTTGTAGGGATTTCTAAGAGATGCATTACATGAAATTTGCCACCTAGGTGGAATCCCAATACAATATTGGTTAACTTTCCTAAAAGAAAACCTTATTTTGGTCAAGGATAGCTACCTGCGTTGCCTCTGACGGAAAGAACTGGTGAATTTGCTATGTATAAGCTTTGCTTTCTAAGGGTAGGGTGCCAGCTAATGGAAGCTGAAGACAAAATTATTTTTCTCATTTGTAATGTAGAGTGATCAGTTGTAATTGGGCCATTAACTGCAATCAATTACATTCTTGTGGGGTCCATTTAACCATAAAATCCTGTCTGTCTTCCAAACAAACCATGCAATTATGCTTATTTGTATTCTCTACTATTGCTATGAGGTCAAGGATGGGAAATGCAGAGTTTGATATTTTCCCCTCCAAATAGATCAGTCGGATAATGATGTACATATTTGTTTGAACATTTTCAATGCCCAGTGTCATTAAGGCAGAAAATTCTGCAAATTGTAGACAGCCAGCTTTCTCCCAGTCTGACAACCTACCATTTTGTTCTGGATATGTCCAGAATTAGATGTGAGGAGCACATACTTGGTCTTTTTATCACAATGTTATAATTTGATCAGTAAGTTGATCTGATGGTTATCTGAAAATCTAACCAATGTGTTGATCAGTCAAAGCTCAACCTCCAAGAAGAGGCAATGGCCTAGTAGTATTATCGTTAGACTATTAATCTAGACCCAGGCAATGTCCTGGGGACCTGCCATGGCAGATGGTGGAATTTGAAGTTAACAAAAATCTGGATGATGGTCATGAAACCATTCCTGACAATCAAAGAAAATCCATCTGGTTCACTAATGTCCTTTTTGGAGAAGGAAATTGTCATCCTTACCTGGTTTGTCCTACGTCGTCTGGCACTCCAGACACAGACAGAAATGTGGTCGACTTGGCAATTAGGAATGCACAATAAATACTGACCTAGCCAGCAACACCCATAGCCTGTGAATGAATAATAACTAAAAGTCACATTTCTAGTTACATAAATTTAAAAGGGAGGTTAATCTAAAATATGTGAAGAGTTAATTCCTGAAGAAAAATTTGCAGCAAACCTCAACAGTCTGTGACAAAATTCAAACGTACAACAGAGACATATATTATTGCAATAATATAACAAGAGGGTTGCAACTACTAATTTAAAGTAGAAGAAGCTAAGTCTTAACCAAAAAGAAGATGCATTTATCAATGTCCTTTTGAGCTATGATTAATGAACAGGACTTTGTTCCACATGGAGAAATATGGCAGAAACATTTAATCAGTATCTGTTGCTCCATTTGTTATGAAGGAAGATGAAGCTGCAGTGATTGATACCCAACTGTATACTGTGATGTACTTTTTGCTCTTTCTCAAGACAGTTCTAAATAGCAAGGATATGACCAAATTGTAGACAACGGTTCAAGTAGTAAATTTACTTGACTGATTTCAGGATACTCAATAGATCCCATTCCTGCCAACATGTTTTGTGTGTCTAATTAGAAGCATAAGGCAGATGGGTAGCTGTGAAATATGTAATGGAGCGATTAATACTCAGAGTAGGGTGGGGTGGTGTTTGAGTTCAGGTTTGGTTGGGGGAAGTGCAGGAAGCAGCTTGAGCTAAATACTGGAGTGTTTGTGTGAGGGGGGGAAAATGCTTTGAAAGTTGGTTTCAGAAGCAGCCAGTAATTCTTGATATTCTTATAACCCACAGCAATAAGTTTTTAGTTTTCTATGAATAAAACTGCTCCCTATTCATAATTATGTCATAGATGTTCAATTAAGTATGCTCCAAATGGTAATTTTCTACCTGGTACACCAGCATCAGTGGACAATGAATTGGTGTCACATTTGCTATCTTCCCCACAGTATTTGATAATCAATTGAACTTTACAAAAAAAATTGCATCACAGTTATTGACCAAGTTAACATTTCTATGAAGCAGAATACAATTTTAAAAATGCAGCAGTTTTTTGTGCACCCAACTACGATTTTGTCCTTGTGATGTATGACTATCCCCACAGGAAGTGGCTATCACATTTCTAATAAACTGTATGTTAATAGAACCCCTGCTCTGCAAGGTCCAGATGGAAATTAAGATGTTAAATTAGATCATCTGCTTAGAGCAGATGAAGCATCTCATTTGCAAGCAAAGGATTGCTGAAACTTCTGAACTGGAAACCAGCCATTTCTGATTTTCAATCATTAGGACTGCAGGATTTTGTTTTGTCAGTTTCACTTTTTGCAATCATTTTAAGGCATTCTGAACTGGTATTGTACTGCTCAGTGCAAGTAAGCCATGTGCTAGTTTTTTTCTCCTCTGGAAATTGGGCTTATCTGTAATATGATTTTGTCTATTTTTTTCCTGTTAGTTTGCAGGAAATTAACTCAACATATGGTTCTAACTGATGAGCACATTAGATATCAGTGCCTCTGCTATCAGCCCACTAATTTAACTTGATGAAATGCAATCCAGACATATAGTCTACGGTAGTCCATAAATAAAATCACATTCTGTTAAAGAAACGTATTTGTAGCACTCTCAAGAACATAATCAGGAGTAGAAGTAGCAAGTCTGACTATAGGATTTGATGGCAAAGGAAATTGCATTCATAATACAGCCAAACAGGTTGAGTGCGATGTTGTAATCTTTCCAAACATATGTCAATGGCTGTGAGTAAAATGAGGAAAGATTCCTGGTCAACCGTGTGATGAAAATAAATTGGAGCCTATCCCGTCACAATCCATAGCTCCAGCCTACAACATCCATGTGAAAGTGCATGTTGCCACAGCAATTCTGATTTAAGAACATAGAACAGTACAAGCCCTTTGGCCCACGATGTTGTGCTGACCTATTATCCTATGAAGATCAAAGTACCCTGCATACCCTACATTATACTATCATCCATGTGCCTATCCAAGAGTCGCTTAAAAGTATCTGACTCCACTACTATTGCCGGCAGCGCATTCCACACGCTCACAGCTCTCTGTGTAAAGAAACTACCTCTGACATCTCCCCTATACCTTTCTCCAGTCACCTTAAAATTATGCCCCCTCGCAATTGTCATTTCTGCCCTGGGGAAAAGTCTCTGACTATCCACTCTGTCTATGCCTCTCATCACCTTGTACACCTCTATCAAGTCACCTCTCCTTCTTCGCTCCAATGACAAAAGCCCTAGCTCCCTCAACCTTTCCTCACAAGACATGCCCACAAGTCTAAGCAGCATCCTGGTAAATCTCCTCTGCACCCTCTCTAAAGCTTCCACATCTTTCCTATAATGAGGCAACCAGAACTTAACACAATATTCCAAGTGTGGTCTAACCAGGATTTTACAGAGCTGCAGCGTAACCTCGCAGCTCTTAAACTCAATTCCCCTGCCAATGAAGGCCAACACACCATACGCCTTCTTAACAACCCTATCAACTTGGGTGGGAACTTTGAGGGATCTATGGACGTGGACCCCCAGATCCCTCCGTTCCTCCACACTGCCAAGAATCCTGCCATTAACCCTGTATTCTGCATTCAAATTCGTCCTTCCAAAATGAATCACTTCACACTTTTCCAGTTTGAATTCCATCTGCTACTTGTTTGCCCAACTCTGCATCCTGTCAATGTCCTGTTGCAACCTACCACAGCTCTCCACACTATCCACAACTCCTCCAACCTTCGTGTCATCTGCAAACTTACCAACCCACCCTTCCACTTCCTCATCAAAGTCATTTATAAAGATCACAAAGTGCAGAGATCCCTGCAGAACACAACTGGTCACTGAGCTCCAGGCCGAATACTTTCCATCTACTACCACCCTCTGAGTTCTATTGGACAGCCAGTTTTGTATCCAGACAGCCAAATTTCCATGAATCCTATGCCTCCTTACTTTCTGAATGAGCCTACCATCGGGAACCTTATCAAATGCTTTGCTAAAATCTGTATACACCACATCCACTGTTCTACCTTCATCAATGTGTTTTGTCACATCCTCAAAGAATTCAATAAGGCTTGTGAGGCATGACCTGCCCCTCACAAAGCCATGCTGACTATTTCTAATCAAACTGGTTTTCCAAATAATCATAAATTCTATCCCTCAGAATCCTCTCCGATAATTTGCCCACCACAGAAGTAAGACTGACCGGTCTGGAATTTCCAGGATTACCCCTATTCCATTTCTTGAACAAGGGAGTGATATTTGCCACCCTCCAATCATCTGTTACTACTCCAGTTGACAGTGAGGACGCAAAGATCATCGCCAAAGGGGCAGCAATCTCTTCCCTTGCTTCCCGTAGTAACATCTTGTCTGGCCCAGGGGACTTATCGATCCTCACGTTTTTCAAAATTTCTAGCACATTCTCCTTCCTAACATCAACCTATTCGAGCATATCTGCCTGTTTCACGCTGCCCTCAAACATCTGGTGAATGCTTAAGCAAAGTATTCATTAAGGACCTCCCCTACCTCCTCTGACTCCACGCACAAGTTCCCTCCACTATCCCTGATTGATCCTACCCACCAAGATTTTTTCATACCCTTTTCTAGCTCTCCTGAGTCCATTCTTCAGTTCCTTCCTGGCTACCTTTGTAGACCTCTAGAGCCCTGTCTGATCCTTGCTTCCTCAACCGGAAGCTTACTTGATTAGATGTTCCACATGTCTTGTCATCCAAGGTTCCTTCACCTTACCATCCCTTCCTTGCCTCAGCGGGACAAACCTATCCAGCACTCGTAGCAACTGCTCCCTAAACAACCTCCACATTTCTGTCATGCATTTCCCTAAGAACATCTGATCCCAATTTATGCTCTGCAGTTATTGCCTAATAGCACTGTAATTCCCCCTCCCCCAATTAAATACTTTCCTGTACCGTCTGCTCCTATCCCTCTCCATGACTATAGTAAAGGTCAGGGAGTTGTGATCACTATCACCAAAATGCTCTCCCACCAAGAGATCTGACACCTGGCCTGGTTCGTTGCCAAGCACCAAATCCAATATGGTCTCCTCTCTGGTCGGCCTATCTACACATTGAGTCAGAAATCCTTCCTGGACACACCTGACAAAATCTGCTCCATCCAAACTATTTGCATTTAGGAGGTTCCAGTCTATATTAGGGAAGCTGAAGTCACCCATGACAATCACCTGATTACTTCTGCACCTTTCCAAAATCTGTCTCCCAATCTGTTCCTCTGTCTCTGTTGCTATTGGGGGGGGCTCAATAGGAAACTCCCAATAAAGTGACTGCTCCTTTCCTGTTTCCGACTTCCACCCATACTGACCTAATGGACAAACCCTCCTCCACGACCTCCCTTTCTGCAGCTGTGATACCATCCCTGATTAGCAATGCCACTCCCCACCTCTTTTGAAACATCTATACCCCGGAAAATCCAACAACCATTCTTGTCCCTGTGTTTTCCAAGTCTCCGTAATGGCCTCAACGTTGTAGTTCCAAGTACTGATCCATGCTCTAAGTTCGTCACCCTTATTCCTGACACTTCTTGAATTAAAGTACACACTTTAATCTGTTGCACTGACTGCAACTTTGCCGTATCAAGTGCTTATCCTTCCTCACAGATTCTCTGCACTTATTAGCTGGGAGCAGCTGGCTGAATGGATTGGATGGCTAATATGGATCAAATTGGTGCGGACAGGAAGGGTTCAATCCCAGTTCCGATTGAGGTGGATTTGGGACCTGCCTCTTTTTCATAACTGTGATGGAGATTAAGTTGCTAAGGGTCAGAATCGTCTTCAAGCAGAGGACTGCAGAAGAAACCGGCCTTTTAGGCCCTTGAGCCTGGTCTGTTATCCACTAAGATAATGACTGATCTAATTGACGTCTTAACTTCACTTTCCTGCCTGGTCTCCCATAACGCTCAACTCCCTCGAAGATCAAAATATAACTTCACCTTAATTATATTCAATGACCTGGGCACCACTGCTCTCGGGGTAGATGACCTGCTGTTGTCAATCTCTCTACCATGTCTGAAGTCACAAAGTTAAAAGTTCCAAACGTAAGAGAATTACTACAACATGAACACTTACTTTCATATGTGCATACTAGTTGTTTATCTTGAAGCTGGTTTTCATTTCAAAGATCAAATGCAATTCATGTAATCCTTAATAGCAAGACCAAAGAGGTTAAGTGTTGAATTTCCCGAAGTAATAAATAACATAACTATGAAAGGGTATCTAAATGTGGTTCTGAACCATTGTGTCGCAATATTTTATCTGAACAGTCTTCAGAGACATTTGGTAACAAATGTTGGACACGTTGCATTGTGGTGGTGTTACAGCAAACATAAAAATGGGCTCTCTTGTATTAGAGAACACTTTAACATATCAAGACTGGTAAGTGCTCAAACAGTACGAAAGACTTCCTACACTAATTATTGATTACAAAATAATTTGGGTGCTCTGCTGATGGCTCAATAGGTAATTGCATCAGATAGTGGAATACTGAGGCATAAAACTTGCAAAATTTTCAGATTTACTTGCTGGTCTATTTGCGTAACGACAGGGAATTGTTGGAAGTGCTTTAGTTGACTTTGGCATCCTCAGATTAGGGAGGGTAAACTCAGTCATAACTATCCTCCCTGATCACTGGTTCATTACTTTCTCATACAAGTGTCAGGTGAGACCGCAATAGATTTTGCCTGTCATCTCCTATCTCCTCTGCCATTTTTAAAGATCCTAAAAACTGCCTTGCATTACACTTGGAAAATGGTCATGTTAATGGGGTTCCAGAGAATTAATGGCATCTGGAAAAGCATGTGCCACCGTGAACTGACACCTTTTAGAAAAGGAGAAAGAAAAGGAACGTCAAAAATACTGTAGTGATGAAATACAGTGTAATTCCAGATGTATTCCAGGACTAATGTTTAGTGTATATATAGTCCTCAGCCTGTTTATCTTTTATAGTAAGTGTGTTTTGTCCTTCAATTTTTGATTTATTGTAAATAAGTGTGACTGTATAACTTTCCAAACTGTGATTGTTTTACCATAGAACAAGCCGACATTGCAACAGTCAACAGTGCTACAGCTGTCCCACTGTCTACTACCTTGTCTTCCATGAGAGAGCAGCTGGCAAAGGAAGTCTGGTACCATGGAAGAATGAGCAGACAGGAAGCTGAAAGGCTGCTGATAAAAGATGGTGACTTTCTGGTGCGGGAAAGCGTAACCACACCAGAACAATATGTACTGACTGGGTTGCAGGGAGGACAAGCTAAGCATTTACTACTGGTGGACCCTGAAGGCTTGGTAAGTATGAGGGTGCAGAAGCAATTACAACAATAAGTTTCAAGATTTAAAAATATCATATAATTTCATTTTGACAAACTAACAATTGCAGAGATTTATCACAGAAATTTATCTATCAAATCCTGTTAAGCAAACAGTTCTATCATTGTAAAATATGAAATATTCTGAATTTTAATGCAAGTTACTTTGTCATTATGAATTTTGTGTTTCTTTGGTAATTGATATTCAACATTTGGGAACTGCCATAACCATTTGCATTACTGTAGTATAAAGACCATAGCCACAGCTACGCTTGACTTGTAAGTAATACGTTGGTTCCTGTGTCTGGCCAATCCAAACTCTTTCTTTTATGATTTTGTTGACATCAAAATAATGTAGTTTTTATTTCTACAGTGTCAACGATTATATATAAAATTGCTGAACAATTGTCTTTTTTATTCATCTTTAAAATAAAACGCTGATGAGTAATGCCATAAAAATAATGCAGAAGGTTCGGTCCCTCGTTTGCCACAAGGAGGCAAACTAAGATTTGCTATCGTGGGAAAATCCTAGGATTCCTGTACACCTAAAGCAGCTACAATCTACAAACTTTAAAAATCTTATCCTGTTACTTGATCAGTATGACTACATTTGTCTTGATGTCGTTAATTCTTCGTGGCCTGCAGTACAAGCCTTAAGCTTTATCTAGGCATCTCGATATGACAAGATGATAATGATGCATACAAATTCTACAATTTTTTTTTTTCATTTCCTTTGGTTTATTTCACACTGTGGTATATACTGTCAAAATATTGAACTGTTGATATTGGCTAACTTGTTCCTTAGCCTTAGCTATAAGTTTGTTCACATGACATCATGAAAACTAAATTTAAAGGAACATTGATTTATTCTCCTATGACTATTCTCTCCATATTAAGATTAATGGACTTGGTGTATGTTGTAAATCCATTCCATGTTATTACTGGACAACTTGGATCGCAGCCTGATACCCGGCTTGATAGATCATGTTGTTTAATAAGGTGGTCTTTCACTGAAATACAAGCATGCAGTGTAGCAAATTTGTTTAACAATAAAAGTTTATTATGCAAAAAAGACAAATAAATCAAACCCTTTAGTTAGATAATTGTATTTTCCACTTGTATATAAACAGCACTCTCTTACAATACTCGAATGCCAGTGAGTATTCACTTCTCTATCGCATCTATAGGCTTGATTAACTGCTTGGACTTGAGTATCTGATTTGTCTCAGTATTATCGCAACTAAACTTGGAATTTCTCTGCTTCAAATAACCCCTCAAGGTTCTAACAAACAATTCTGGTTTAGTCCTTGCACTAAAGTAACCAATTTTTAACTTTAACTCCTCTCTCCTAGGAGTTTTCACACATCCAACTTCAACCAGAACATCTGTGAATTGAAACCAAAAATTTCCAAGTTATGGTTTTTCCATGAAGCAAAGAACAAGCTAATGCTCTCTCATGTTCTGTTCTGAGGAAGGGTCACTTGACCCGAAACATTAACTCTGTTTTCCCTCCAAAGATGCTTCCAGATCTGCTAAGCTTTTCCAGCAATTTCTGTTTTCGTTTCTGATTTACAGCATCTGCAGTTCTTTGTTTTTAATCAGAGCTCAAGGCAGAACATCTGAGATGGTGTCAATTGTTTTCTGCTGTTTAGAAATGATTAAAGGTATCAGTGAATAGTTCAGATGCAATGAGAATATTGTTGTGTGATGAGACAGAAGTTATTGCCAAATGTAGACAGATTATAAAGACTAGAGAAATGTTTGCAGGCAACAAGAAATATTTCCAAATACAGAGAAGTAATTGAAGGTAATAGGAACTCTGGCACATAATTTAACTTTCTTTGTTCCTTCCTCCACTACACATGCAGCAATAAAGGGTTTACTGTTTCCTTTGCAAAGAAAAGAGAAAGGAGCTTCTGCCTATTTATTATTGTGCTGATTTATTAACTTGAATGCAATTCATCCTGACAGCTATCTGCATGCTGTTAATCGATTAATAGACTTACTTGTGCCCTCCTAGTGCAATATTTAACAATTTTATTGTTCATGATCCAAAAATGAAACTGTATTTTACATCCTTCACAGTGCTGAATTTTTTGCTCATAAAAATTGAACTAAATGAAATTTAAGGATACTTAAATGCATCCCTATTTTTCCCTATAAAGGTGAGAACAAAGGACTGCATATTTGATAGTGTCAGTCACTTGATCAGCTACCACATGGACAACCAACTGCCAATCATCTCATCAGGAAATGAACTCTATCTTAAAAGAACTGTCTAAAATGAACATTAAGCAACTTGGACAAAGAGAGTTTGCTTACAGATACAGCCATTTGCACTTGCCTGGATATTTTGGAAAGCTGGCTGTAGAGTTGTTTTCAAAAATGTAAAAGAAAATATAGGCTGCAATGGTCACAATCACTTTGTACTTCAGACTTGGTGTTTGCTACAAGAAGATAATTTTAATGTGTCAATGTATATAATATTTTAGGAAAATATATGAAGAAATAAGTGTAGTTACATACTATGTGAATGTTTTTCTTTATTTCTAAGCACAAATGGCATTGAGAACATGCAGAAGTCAATCCTAATGAACTACAGATCATAAAAACGTGCCTTGATTCCAAAGAGATTACAGGATATGAAGAAGCTCCTCTTTTCCAAATGATTTTATATGCTGGATACTGCAAATAAAATCACTTGTTTGGAACCTGTTTCACTACCTTTGCACCAGAATTCTGGGAAGCAAAAACATTTAGGAAGTGGAATGGAGCTTTAGTAATGCTTTTGCTCTGTACCAATGCAGTTTGCATTTTGAGTTCCAATTTCCCACATTGCTTTGAAAAGCACTTTATCAATGTGGGGCTTTACTGCTTTCCTTTATTTGTGAAACGTTAAAAGATCTGTCACAAATACGCACTTATCTATGTGTGTGGGTGTGTATATATATCAAATAAATACATTTCTAAAAGAAAATTGATTTTTCATTCCAGTTATGTTTACTAGTGTACTAAAGCTGTTGGGGGAAAATAAATTTTGCAGGATCAGACAAATCTTTTCATAGATAATTTTAGATATAGACTTAATTCTATAAGTTTACCTACTTGTTGTAATATTGTGAATAGTAATGAGAAAATTAGAATTTCAGAAGCAGAATGATATTTTTAATATTTTTGGCTAGGTTTCCACACAAGTATAATATACATGCAACAATTATTTTCATCCTTGCATCAAAGCATGGCATGATGGAGATTTTACTGTTCTTCTCCCATATCTGTCACAGTCTAACTTGGTGCCAGATTTCAAAGAACAGATACAAGATATTTCCATTGCATGATAACTCCACCTAATTGAAACAAACTTAAAGAAAATCAGTTAAAGTATTTTTAATGCTTGAAAAATTGTGAATTGTGCATGACTTCTAATGCAGTATCATTTGTAAATAAATTTTGCAGCTCTGCTGTGCACTGGTGAAGAATAAAAAGTTATTTTGTTCACTGCTACCTCGTGATGCTTTGTATGATTTTTAAAACAGCAAGATGTATTAAATAGCACACAGCACTTGAGTGGTTGAATAATAAAGTGCCTGTCATCTACTTTAATACAATGTTATAATTTAGTCCATTTGCAATCTTTTCAATGAATATAGTGGTATATGGTGAGTTTTTTTATATTCTAGTTTCACAATGACTGTCATGGCAATAAAAAACCTCATTAAAATGCTGAATGGAAATGCAGTTGTTTCACAGAAGTAACGCCAAATGATCATTAATACTGAGAGTCACCATCTGAAAGTGCAGAAAGCTACATTTAAAAAAAAAAGTTATGGCATAAATGCTGCCTGTGCCCTCCACACTTCACTTCAGCTCTGATGAAGTCATCTAGACTCCACGTCAGCTTGCTCTCTCTTCATTGATGTCATCTGACCCATTGTGATCTCCAGCATCTGCAGTAATTTGGTCCTACATTATGGCAATCTTCTTGCTTTATGTCTCAACAATGTCTCCCTCTGCTGGAAAACCCAAATAAAATTGTAGAGTTAGAAAAATTTGCTTTGGTGCATAATTAATGACCTGCATAACATTGGAAGGATGTGCAGTACCCTGCTAAACTTACTATGTCTTGCACAATTGAAGCTTGAGTGCAGGTTGATAATGACAAAACTGAAATTTCATTTTGACAATGCAAATCAATGCAAGCCCATATGGTTTTGGCACTTTTTGTTGGCTATACTGTATTATTCATGCAAGCTTTGGAATTTTTCTTCTGAATTCAATGGAAGTGGGCATGTAAATACAGATTGCTGCATTTTTCCTATCCAATTGGCTGGACCACATGACATTGTTAGTGGTGAAAGGTGGTCTTAATGCGAGCACCTCATCTTATTAAAGAGGAAGCAGAGTTCAAAACCTCAATAATCTGAGAGCCTTCTATATTGCTTCTTTACCTAAAGAATTGCCGAGGAGGCAATATTGTCTCAAAGTTCTGGCATGGTCAATATATATTTAAACAAGCTGAACAATATGCATAACTTGCTCTAATCTAATAACCCAACATTTCCTTATCCCTAAAACAATAGGTAAATTCCCAAAAGCACAATACTGCAAATCTGAAATGATGGTAAACTTCTGGGATGGGGGCTTGGTCTTTATGGAATTTAAACTAATTTGGAAGGGAATGGGATACTGAGTGGAGGTTAAATAGGGTTGATGTACAGATAAATGTGGGGGACAATCAGTTTGGATGGCACAGCATGTACATCATAGCAAGGCTGGATGGCATTTATTTTAATGCAAAGAGCAGATGCTTGGAGGGTGATGGAAATAGTTTATATAATGGCAAGCCTATTGGCTCAATATTCCAGTTATGAAGTCTTCAGGTCAGACAGAGGGTGAAAACAGCAGGTACATCATTAATCAAGGAATCAACTACTGCAATAAGTAGGAATGATATTTTAGAAGGTTTCTCAATTAAAGGCAAATCCCTGGACTGAGAAGCCTGGATTCAAGTCCCACCTGCTCCAGAGGTTTGTAATAACATTTCTGAATAGGTTGATTAGAAAAATAGGTTAAATACAAAAAGAACTTCAAGACAAGAAAAGGACCAATTGTATTGCTGATAGCTTACTATAGACTTCTAAAGAAGTGGGAGATATAAAAGGACTGATTTATAAAGACAAATCTCAAGCACAAAAATAGGGTAGTCATGGGGGCTTTCAACTTCCTCAATATTAAAGACAGATTGTGAGACAGGTTTACAGGGGTGTGCAGAATTCTTAAAATATACCCAAGAAAGCTTTTTTTTTTTTTTAAAAAGCCAGTACATAAAATTAGGACAGCACCATCCCCTCTTTGTAACACATTTTAAAGGAAAGAAGCTGGACAGCAGGTAGAATGACAATGGGGGAGCATTTAATCAAGTGACCATAACTCAAAGATTTAAGGTAGTTATCAAAAAGGACAAGGATGGACTGGAAATAAAGGTTGATTTTTAAAATTAGACAGAATCTGGCCAAAGTGGACTGGGGGCAGCTACTTGTAAGTAAATCAACATTAGAGCAGTGGGAATCATTCAAAAACAGTAAAGTGAAGAGCCATGATATTTGTGAAGGGGAAGTGGGTAGGATCAACAATCCAGAGGATCTGTACATTCAGGAATGTACGGGATTGGATAAGGGAGTTTAAAAAAGTGAATCTTATGATCAACGCCAAGGGCTCAAAACAAAAGAAGCCTTTAAGACAGAAGTACAGAGGAGTTAGGCAAGGCATAATGGGAGCAAAAACTTTATGGTGGGTCAATTGAGGAACAGTGGAGGACTTTCAAAACAGAAGTATATTCCAGTGATAAGGAAGAACTGTAGGAAAAGAAAGTCAGCCATGGATGTCTAAGGAAATAAAGTATCAGATTAAAAAAAAACATACAAAAAAGCAAAGATTAGTGGGAAACTAGCAGACTGGGAAATCTTTAAAGGCCAACAGAAAGCCACAAAAAAGTTATAAAGTAAAGATGGAATATGAGAGTAAACTAGCTCAAAATATAAAAACAGGCAGCAAAAGTTTCTATAAATATGTAAATCGTAAAAGAGTGACGAAGGTAAACATTGGTCCTCTAGAGGATGAGAAGGCCAATTTAATAACTGGGAATGAGGAAATAGCCGAGGCATTAAACAGTTATTTTGTGTCAGTCTTCAGTGGAAGACACAAATAACATGCCGAAAACTGATGGCAAAAAGGTTATAGCAGGTGAGGACCTAGAAACTATTATCACTAAGGAGGCAGTGCCGGGCAAGCTAATGGGGCTAAAGATAGACAAGTCTCTTGGCCCTGATGAAATACATCCCAGGGTACTAAAAGAGGTGATGGGGGAAAATAGCAAATGCACTAGTAATTATGAAACAAAATTCACTGAACTCTGGGGTGGTTCCCACAGATTGGAAAACAGCCAATGTGACGCCACTGTTTAAAAAAGGAAGTAGACAAAAAGCAGGTAACCATAGGCCAGTTAGCTTAACTTCAGTAGTGGGGAAAATGCTTGAATCTATCATTAAGGAAGAAATAACAAGACATTTGGATATAAATTCTTCCATTGGGAAGACCCAGCATGGGTTCATGAAGGGTAGGTCATGTTTAACTAATTTGGTGGAATTCTGAGGACGTTACTTGCATGGTGGACAATGGGGAACCTGTGGTTGTAGTGTATCTGGATTTCCAGATGGCATTTGACAAGGTGCCACACCAAAGGCTGCTACACAAGATAAAGTTGCATGGTATTACAAGTAATGTATTGGCATGGATAGAGGATTGGTTGACTAGCAGAAAGCAAAGAGTAGGGGTAAATGGGTGCCTCAGGGATCAGCGTTGGGACCGCGATTGTTTACAATTTACATAGATGATTTGGAGTTGGGGACTAAGTGTGGTGTGTCAAAATTTGCAGATGACACTAAGATGAGTGGTACAGCAAAGTGTGCAGAAGACACAAAGTCTACAGAGGGATATAGATAGTCTAAGTGAGTGGGCAAAGATGGAGTACAATGTTGGTATGTGTGAGGTCATCCATTTTGGTAGAAATAACAGCAAAATGAACTATGTTTTAAATGGTAAAAAAATGCAGCACACTGCTGTGCAGAGGGACTTGGGTGTCCTTGTGCATGAATCGCTAAAAGTAGGATTGCAGGTGCAGCAGGTAGTTAAAAAGGCAGATGGAGTTTAAAAACAGGGAGGCTATGCTGCAGCTGTATAGGGTCCTGGTGAGTGCAGTTTTGGTCTCCTAACTCGAGAAGGGATATACTAGCACTGGAGGGGGTGCAGAGGAGATTCACTCAGTTGATTCCAGAGTTGAGAGGGTTGGATTATGAGGAAAGACTGAGTAGGCTGGGATTATACTCATTGGAATTCAGAAGAATGAGGGGAGATCTTATAGAAACATAAGATTATGAAAGGAATAGATAAGGTGGAGGCAGGGAGATTGTTTCCATTAGCAGGTGAAACTAGGACTAGGGGGCATAGCCTCAAAATAAAGGGAAGCAGATGTAGGACTGAGGTCAGGAGGAACCTCTTGACCCAAAAAGTTGTGAATCTGTGGAATTCCCTACCCAGTGAAGCGGCTGAAGCTACCTCGAATGTGTTTAAGGCAAGGCTAGATAAATTTTTGAACAGTAAAGGAATTAAGGGTTATGGTGTGCGGGCAGGTAAGTGGAGCTGAGTCTCAAAAAAAATCAGCCATGATCTTATTGAATGGCAGGGCAGGCTCGAGGGACCAGTTGGCCTATTCCTGCTCCTAGTTCTTATGTAAAATGCAAGGAATAACTTGGGAAAGAAATTAGAACAGTGAAGGTGTCATAAAAAAAATGGTGGGTAAAACAAAAAAATCCAACTACGTTTTAAGTATACTGGGTCTAAAGGAATAACCAAGGAATTAATTAGGTCTGTTGAATATCAAAGTGCCAATGTTTGTGGAACCAGAAGATATAGCTGAGGTTTCAAATGAGTACATAGTCCTTCTCTACAGTGAAGACACATGCAATCTATGTATAAAAGTCAAGTAGGGGGTTGTGGTATACTTGTGAAACAAAAAAAAAAATCATCACAGACAAAGAGGAGATATGAATGGCTTTGACAGGCTTGAAAGTCAATAGATCCCAGAGGCCCAGATGAGATGTATCCCAGATTACTGTTGGTGATAAAGGAGGAAAAAATTACAGGCCTTGACAATTTTCAAATCCTCTCCAGCCACAGCTGGACTGGAAGACAGCTAAACGTGGTATCATTATTCAACAAAGTTGTAAGCGATAACCTTGGAACTATAGAACAGTGGCTTTAACATAAGCAGTAGGGTAACTTTTGGAAAATAGTCTCATCACATAATTGATCTCCATTTGCAAATGTAAGGATTAATTAAGGCCAGTCAACATAGAGATAACAAGGTTTAGAGCTGGATGAACACAGCAGGCCAAGCAGCATCATAGGAGCAGGAAGGCTGACATTTCAGGCCTAGACCCTTCATCAGAAATGGTTTCTAGGCCCAAAACATCAGCCTTCCGGCTCCTATGCTGCTGCTTGGCCTGCTGTGTTCATCCAGCTCTACACCTTGTTATCCTCAGATTTTCCAGCATCTGCAGGTCCTACTACCCCAGTCAACATAGTTTAGTCATGGGGACATCCTGTCTAACCAGACTGAATTAAATTTTTTGACAAGATGACTAGGTATGTACATCAGGATAGTTTGATGGATGCAGTCTGCATGGAGTTCAGGCAGGCGTTTGATTAGGTGTCACATAGAAGATTGAACAAGATTGTAACAGCCCATGATTGGCTTTGTAACTAAAGGCAGAAGGTGATGGTTGAAGCTTTTTTATGACTGGAAACTTGGAGGTATATAGCAGAGTTCAGTACTGGATTTCTTGCTGTTTGTAGTGTATATTAATGAACTAGGTGCTAACTTTGAGGTTAAAATGAAAGTTGGTTCTGTGGTAAAGAGCAAGGAAGAACATTTTAGACTACAGCACAACATAGATAACTGGTAAGGTAGGCAGAACAGGGGCAGATCAGAACTGTTCTAATGCTCTGCTTTAAAGTTAAATCCTTCCCCCATACCTTAGATGTTTTCAAGCAACCCGTTCAAAACAGTAACTACATACCTCTGGAACAAGCAGGACTTGAAGCTGCGTTCTGACTCAGAGCTAAAAGGTAAAGTCACAATAGTCCTATCAGACTTAGGGCTGCTCTCTCATTAGAGAGAGCACTGACTGCTGGTGGTTTAACGACACTTTAGTCAAGGGGAGAGGTTACGAAGAGACCTTCATGTTCCCTCACCTCGGCCAGTGCGGAAACTGTACCCACATTATCAGCATCACAAACAGGCCACCAGCCATTTGAACTAATCAACACCTTACCTAGACACTAACCACTACCCCTAAAGAGCCCTCGCTCTACTCTTCCCGCCCCCTTTAATACACATCATTGACGCAATCCTTATTGACAAGCGCCAGAGCAAATGATAAAAGTCTGGAATCTGAGAATCTTGTAACAAACTTCAATTGCTTCATTTACCCCTCCTAACCTACAAAACCCACATTTACCAACTACCTTCCATCCGGCATCTTGAAACCGATCTTCTTAGCCTCCTGACAATCATCTGCAGCTGCGGCCGTTGCCCATTCGGAGTGCGCAGTACAACCACGTGACTGAGCGGCGAACCGTAGGTGGTCACATTCTTCCCGCCTCACTTCGCGCGCGCTCGAGCGCCAGGTTTAGTACAAAAAGTCCTCGCGCCAGTAACGGATAAATTGCACTGCCGTCGGAAGTCCCGCCTGCCAAGCTCTCCATTGGAAAAGAGTAGGGTCTCTAACCCAGTCCGGACCATCTGTGGTTACACGAGCTGCCAATCAAGATACGTCGCCCAGTTTACACTGTAGGGTCGGGTTGAGGCTGTGCTGATGGTTCTTCCCATGGTAGCCGTTCTCTGAAGTAAAGTCCGATTGATGGAGTATGTTATAATTGTTATCTGGTTGCTAGGACCAGTATCGACATGACAAGTTCACAGGTTCTGGTCTTAACTTCAACTTTGGTAAGTTTCACTTATTTTGAGGTTTAATTGCAGCTTCCATCCTCTCCAAACCTAGCAACATCATGGCCAATCCTCTAGTATCGGCCGGAAAATAAGTGTTATTTGCGGTCGTGTTTATCGTCAGTCTAGATGCAATATCTCTGCATTATAATCCATTATATTTCATAAATTCGGCCCATCCTAACTGTGCTGATTCTCAGAAAGAACAACACGCCTTTCTCTGATTGCTGTAATTATTTTCCTCTCCAGATAATGATCCAATTCCATTTGAAAGCCAGTGTCCAATATAATTGTCAAGTAGTGCACTTCGGACCCTAACTATATACTGTGTTTTTTTTTTCCTCTTCTATTATTCTTGCTTCTTTAGACATTCACCTTAAAGTAGTGTCACCAGGTTCTCCATAATTTCTGTCAATGGGAACAGTTTCTCTCTCTCTACTCCTTTATTTCTCCTGATTTTGAACACTTTTATCAAATGTCAACCTTGTCTTCAGGGACAACAGCACCAATCTGTTCACCTAATTAAAATTCATAAGCCTTGAAGGCATTCTGCTAAATCTTTTCTGTAATCTCTTATGTCATCCCAAGTTATGTACACAAATTAATGCAGTATCATTGTTTCATTTAGGTTTATTGTAATTGGAAAATGAGTTCATACTGCTTTAAGAAATTGTTCTAATAACAGTTGTTCAAGAACCAGCCCAGGAACAGGCTATTGTACCTAATTATATGCAATAAAACAGAACTAATCAATCTCCAGTTAAAGGATGTGACAGTGATCATGGCATGATAGAATTTTGTTTTCAAATCAAAAGGTAGAAGTGTGGGTCCATAAGTAGTGCTTTAAACCTTCAGAAAAGTTGAGGACTTGAAAGCACAACTACCACTTCACTCCAATTTTTTCCATTAAGAAAGTCATCTGCATTTCTGACAGATTTCCATCAGGGCCCGTTCAGAAAGCTTAGATCTTAGAATCCCTGCAGTGTGGAAACATGCCCTTCAGCTCAAGTCCACACCGACCAAGTATCCCACCTTTTTT